AACACTGATGTCACGGTGTACACATCACATGTCACACAAGTCAGCATATATCTGGTGTTACCGTCTATATCTCAATATAAACACTGTGACACAATGTACACGTCACACGAGTCAGCATATATCTGGTGTTACCGTCTATATCTCAATATAAACACTGTGACACAATGTACATGTCACACGAGTCAGCATATATCTGATGTTACCGTCTACATCTCAATATAAACACTGTGACACAATGTACATGTCACACGAGTCAGCATATATCTGGTGTTACCGTCTATATCTCAATGTAAAACTGTGACATAATGTCTGCCTTTTACTTGTGTACTTTTACAATGTACTTGTCATGAAAGCCAGCCTTTAACTTGTGTTACCATCTATATGCCACTATAAACACTGTGACACAATGTACATGTCACGCTAGTCAGCATATATCTGATGTTACCGTCTAGCCATCTCAATATAAACACTGTGACACAGTGTTACGTCACATGTCACCATAGCATATATCTGGTGTTACCGTCTATATCTCAATATAAACACTGTGACACAATGTTAGTACATGTTCACACGAGTCAGCATATATCTGAGTCAGCGTTTTATTGTGTTACCGTCTACATGTCAATATAAACACTGTGACACAATGTACACGTCACACGAGTCAGCATATATCTGATGTTACCGTCTACATGTCACAATATACTCTGTGACACAATGAGAGTCAGCGTTTCATTGGTGTTACCGTCTACATGTCACCATATACTCTGTGACACAATGAGAGTCAGCCTTTTATTGGTGTTGCCGTCTACATGTCACAATATACTCTGTGACACAATGAGAGTCAGCCTTTTATTGGTGTTGCCGTCTACATGTCACAATATATGACACAATAGTCAGCCTGTTACCGTCTACATGTCACAATATACTCTGTGACACAATGTCATTTTATTGGTGTTACCGTCTACATGTCACAATATACTCTGTGACACAATGTTAGTCAGCCTTTTATTGGTGTTACCGTCTACATGTCACAATATACTCTGTGACACAATGTTAGTCAGCCTTTTATTGGTGTTACCGTCTACATGTCACAATATACTCTGTGACACAATGAGAGTCAGTCAGCCTTTTATTGGTGTTACCGTCTACATGTCACAATATACTCTGTGACCGTCACATGTCACCATATACTCTGTGTTAGTCAGCCTTTTATTGGTGTTACCGTCTACATGTCACAATATACTCTGTGACACAATGTTAGTCAGCCTTTTATTGGTGTTACCGTCTACATGTCACAATATACTCTGTGACACAATGAGAGTCAGCCTTTTATTGGTGTTACCATGTGTATGTCACAATGGACAATGTGACACTTGAGAGTCAGCAATGTTATTGGTCCCGCTAGTCACAATAGACTTTTGACACAATGTTCGCGTCCCGCTAGTCAGCAGTGTATTGGCGTAGCCGTGTACAAGTCACAACAGACTGTTATACTGTTATGCTTTCAAGGTTGGAATAATGTGGTTTCACGTTTTAATCACCCGCGATATTGAGTGTTTACATCGGCAAGTAAAAATACTGTTCGGCTAACAACTCATTGTATTGCTTATTTGCCCAGTGGTATTCTGAAATTAAAATCGATATATATGCTGTACACATGTGCGATGCAAAATTACTGAGTAATTCAGGAAGAGTTGATTTATAATTTACCCGTAAGTAATATGATGAAGAACAGAAAAACATTATATATGATATTGGCTGCCTGTTATCTTGAGTGTCCCAATCGTTTTGAAACAGAAGAATCCCCGCAGAAACTTAAATAAATATCATGAAACAATCCTGTTGCCATCGCACTCTCGCACTATCACTGTAAGCCTACTAGACTTAACTCATACAAGACTTCACACTGACCTGTGTAGGTCCAGATTTGAATAGATCTTCAGAACCCACGCCAGCAAGAGGCGACTAACGCGAACGGGTGAACAGGCCTCGCTGACATGGATGATGCACATTATCGTATCTCAATTACGTATATAGATGCTCATGATATCAATCACTGGAATGTACTACTACTACTACTACTACTACTACTACTACTACTTCTTACTACTAGTACTACTACTACTCGAGGGGTATGGTAGCCAAGTGGTTAAAGCGTCCGTTCATCACGCTGAAGACACGGGTTCGATTCCCCTCATGGGTACAATGTGTGAAGTCTATTTCTGGTGCCCCCGCCGTGATATTGCTGGAATATTTCTAAAAGCGGCGTAAAACCACACCACACTCACTTACTACTACTACTACTACTACTACTACTACTACTACTCCTGCTTCTATATGCTCCCACGCCTGGCACATACAATACCACATTATTTGGCTCAGGTTAAATATCAACGTGCCAGCCAGACCAGTGTTGGGTGCTTATGCAGAGGCCATAAACTATCCGCGAGTCAGTAAAAGGATTCGAACAGCAAGCTGACAAGACTATGATGCCGTTATACCGTAATGATGCAGCGCTACCAGCGTTAAGCCAACAAAACATAAATGATTTTGTCGGTTCTGAAAACTACATTCAAACGTGGCACAAAGCGACCTTTTATTTGTACAAAGTCATAATACATGTCTTTGGTAACCAGGATTAGGGTAACCGTTTCACTTGCAATAACTGGATCGAATATTTCCTATAAATGTAAACGGGTACAAAGAGTTTTGATGACATCAGACATTGTAACTGAGCAGTAACGATGATGATGACTCAGCTCAGATGCTCTGCCATTATTTGGCCTTCAATCTGATATGTGTTTACATGCATGGTATTGTTATCGAACTGTCATATGAACGTACTTTCACGAATTATCATCTGAAACTGAAGGGGATGAAGATGTTTGGCTGATAACTCGTGAATTGTTGTCTGAAACATTGGGGGAAACGGATATCATTCAGGTTTTTACTTATTGGCCTTAAAAACCTGCAATCACTATAATTAGTATCAAATGAATGAATTCTTCATTTCTATATGCTAGATCCTCAGAACATCATGTTTATGTAATTATATAATTAGAAAAAGAAAATACTCAGCACACACACACACACACACACACACACACACACACACACACACACACACACACACACACAGAGAGAATATGGGAACAGTTTCCCCAATATATACAGGCTAGAAACAGTGAGAGATACTGGTAAGATTACTACATGTTATTAATGGTTAGCCTTTAGTTCATACAGATGCTTTTGAAACTTCTATAATAGTGAAATGCGATGTTACTTCATCAATATCGTTGTTATCGGCCCCAAGAAAGAATGCTAGCATGCCATGCTCTTGCGTCATGATGGTTGTGTTGGGTATCCATGTCGGATCCTCGTACCGCCACCGAGCATCACATCCAGCGGGATGATACATACAATCTGCGTCGACCAGGATACGGGCGGTGGGGTAGCCCAGTGGTTAAAGCGTTCGCTCGCCACGCTGAAGACCAGGGTTCGATTCCCCACATGGCTACAATGTGTGCAGCCAATTTCCGGTTTTACCCCGCCGTGATATTCCTTGAATATTGTTTAAAGCGGCATAAAACCATACTCACTCACTCCACCAGGATAAAGGCGACGTGGACATGTATTTCTGTTCTGTAGTAATTGCTTATTTCATATCATCTGAAATTTATTCATCGGTTTTGTAAATACTAAATTTGTATGATATGCAAATTTTTAAAACTGCTTTTCTGTTAATTTTAATTGACATTATCTTTAATTGGGTACAAGTCATGGGTAGCTTGGCCGTCTTGGTCAGGTTGATTCACTTTGTCCTGCGTGAACTCCTGCTTCATATTTTGTATTGTATATGTTTTCTTTTGTGGTTTCTTTGTTGTTTGCCAGTTAGCAATTTTCCAGCTTTATGGCGGCGGTCTGTAAATAATCAAGTCTGGACCAGACAATCCTGTGATTGACATCATGGGCACCGATCTACGCAACCAAGATACGCTGAAACGCATCAACCAATTGAGAGGGCTCGACAATTCCATTCCGCTTGTTGTCTTTACCGCATGCTGAAGCCCAATCCCGAATCTTCACCGGTTTAAATATTTTATGAATATTACAGGTGACGATTACCCTTAATACTGAAACAAGGTCTCCATTTCCCATGATTAAATCTCTGATTACAAATCTATACACCAACTGGCAATTAGATCGTGGAAGAATATCATTTGTATCCTATCTTTATTGAGACAAATTCAAAGATTCGTATGAATAAAATCGGATAAATACATCCCAGTAAAAGTTTTAGAGAAATCAAGTAACAGATTTTGTTATAATTAAAATGTTCATATAAGGTGAGAATGTAATAGCTATCACGGTTGACAAATGCGAAACCCACCTTCTCACCTTGAAGGGTCAATGGTAACACATTGGCGGATCCAGAGAGGGGGAGGGGGGAATCTCGCCCCCCCCTGAAAATGACTTAAGACCACATCGAAGAGTTTTTATTGCGTTGGCGGAGCCAATGGGGGACCCCTTGGGGTTCGAACCCCCTGAATCCCCCCCGTTTCAAAATTCCTGGATCCGCCCATGTAACGGCACGTCTTCCGAGTACCAGGAACTAACGTTATAGGTTATAATTGTTCAGTTCTATGTAAAATCACCATGCTCACCGTCAATACAGCGCAACCATAGAGTCAGGGCTTGAATAACACGACGCCTTGTCAGCTGTTTGCCCTCGTGAGGTATTCAGTTACACAAATTGTCCAGCATCTACATACCTTCACACAAGTTATCAGATGAAACGGTTCAAATTACTTGATACACTGTGAGTGGTGTTTAAACTCCAGCTCGGACCTTGTAAATGACCAGCGACCTCACAACGAGCAATTTACCTGTCTACCTGTAGGTTCACAAGAACACCGCGACAAGGCAGCGTATATATGCAAGCACTCGTCAGGTTAGTACTAGGACCAGGTGGTCGTCACTTGTCATGCTTGACGGGCGGAGAAGACAAACCGGTTCTGTGTACCGTGATTTGAATATGCAAAGCCAAGGAGTGCGTAGCGAGCTCGCTACCTGGATTGGGCCAACACCCTCGTACTAGAGCAAGTGGTCCATTCTTGCTGAGCGCCGAGTTAGTTCATTTGACGTTCTGGGTCGCCTGAAACACAAGCAAGCGGCCGGGCTACTAGACGGGTCGATAATTGGCTCCATTGAACTGTTGATCGCTGTTTGGAATTTCTATTGATTTTGTGCTTAATTTGATCCGACGGTTGTGAAGGTGTGAATGAACAGGGGTGCCCCCTGATACCTGGATATTTGTGGAGCAATTTACTACTACAACTATGAGTGAAGTTGATATCATTGGCAACCAGGCGAGATCCAAGGAGGGTCGGGGTTTGTCTGTGAGGGGTGGGGACAGTGACAAGTGGATCACTATACAGAAGAACACTTTCCAGAATTGGATAAACCTCCAGCTTCATGGGTCTGGCCTGACAGTTGAGAACCTACAGGAGGACCTGTGTGATGGGGTCAAGCTATGTACCCTCGTGTCAGCCTTACAACAGAAACCAAGCATCGGAAGAGTCATCAAGAAACCAAATAACCCGCATCAGTTCCTGGAAAATGTCACTCTCGCTTTGAATGCCATCGCCGCCGACAATATTCGGCTTGTCAACATCGGTAAGCAAACACATGCACACCCTCACGTTATACCTATCTGTTTACCAGGCTAAGATTCACTTGCCTTAAGCAAATGACACTTTCTGAACATGACTCTACAACCATCCATCACCTTTGACCTGATTGAGGTGTCTATTTCAGATCAGTATCACTATATGTTGTATATATATATATGGCATTAGGTTAATGACCAGCCTAATAAGGATGTATATCAATAGCGGCTCGGTAGATTTGGTTTGTGTCACCAAGATGATTCAGTGCCATTCATGCTTTGTTTTGGTGATCAATTCATAAGTATTCATGAAAACTTGCTTTTGACATGAACATTCTATACAGAGGTACAGATAAGCTGCGTATCTGCTTAAATTACGCAAATAGTTATGTGAAAACTCAATTCCTATTAAGTCTATTGCATACAAGTATGCCTGACTTTTGTAAATACTCAATAAATGTGATCTTACATGCGTACACACAAAAATGTCAAATCTTAGCTTGCGTACCGGTGCATAGATAAAATAACTGAGGTATATTGAGAGGGTCTATTTCAGGACATGAACTTGACAACTTGCAGTCTTTCTTATCGTTTCTCATATTACAGATCAAATATAAATAACAAACACTAACATTTAAACTTTATTATATTTTTAAAATTAATGGAAATGGCAAAATACCCAAATGAGTTTGAGTGAGGTGAGTACAATTTATTTGGTTACTCAAAAAAATTAGGATACCCAATTGAGATGAACACAAGCGAGTACATAACTCAATGACCCAAAAAGTTATCTGTAGCTCTGTCTATAACTTGAATAGTCCTGAGTGCGGTGATAAATGATAAACAACAAACATGAACATTCTTTGGACCATATTTCTAATTTACATGACAGAATCTAATCTCTTGGTCAGAAGCATTTAACAACACAGTGCTTCCAAATCAGATTGATTATCTGATAGCAGCTGTATGATGATCAACATCGTTCAGATAACACTGAAATGCTTTGATAATCCCATATACCACACTCACTAACCCGAGTGTATTTCAAGGTTCACCAAGTTTTTATATTACTTCTTTGTTGAGTGAGCACTTGATGTGATGGTGTGTGTGTTACATGTAACGGTCGACACGGACTGGTTACTTCGACTGATGTCAATATGTACGTCCACAAGGTGATAGAACTGTTTCATCAGCAACCATGATAACATAATACCTGGATTCAGTGTGCCCCAGTTGTGTTGGTGAAAGTGATATACTTGAATACCAGCATGTGCAGAATTTTCCACTAACTATATAAATTAAGATAGATACACGTGTGATAAGTGGAAAATTCTGCTGGCATTTGTGTGTGTAGGAGATTATAGATGAAACTTAAACTTCTGTGTGTGTGTGTGTGTGAGAGAGAGAGAGAGAGAGAGAGAGAGAGAGAGAGAGAGAGAGAGAGAGAGAGAGAGAGAGAGAGAGAGAGAGAGAGAGAGAGAGAGAGAGAGAGAGAGAGAGAGAGAGAGAGAGAGAGAGAGAGAGAGAGAGAGAGAGAGTTATGGGAACAGTTTCCCCAATATATACAGGCTATAAACAGTGAGAGATACTGGTAAGATTACTACATGTTATTAAAGGTTATCCTTTAGTTCATACAGATACTTTTGAAACTTCTATAATAGTGAAATGCGATGTTACTTCATCAATATCGTTGTTATCGGCCCCAAGAAAGAATGAGAGAGAGAGAGAGAGAGAGAGAGAGAGAGAGATTAAACTTTGGTGTGTGTGGGTACTAAATATACATATACAACTGTTCAGTAGCCCACTTACCACTCTATAATATAATTCATTAGCCCAAATACCAGCAATACTTATCTATATTCAATAAACACATATATACCAGTAGACCACAATGAAGTATGTAAACAATATTCCATATGTAAGTACATATGCCATGATATACAAACCTCATACCCGATTAAGCAAGATCTTGAAATAAGAGCTTTCAAATTTTCAAATGGTCGTAGCTATTTACATTGGAGGTAGGATGGCATGTCAACTGTCATCACATGTACATACAAGTTGTCATACCTTCATGTATCTGCTGATCTCTAGCAAAGGTATATACGGTGGAAGCTGTCTAAACTGGCACTGGTCGGGACTGAATAAATACTCCGGTTTTGACAGCGTCCCGGAATGTAGAGCTGACATGGTTACCTACGGCTAGAACTAAACCAGTTTTATCACTCTCATATACATTGTTGTATAAGGTGGTTCTCTCAACTCCCTAATTACATGTACAAGTACACCCATACTGAACTAAGATTAAATTATCTTTGTCGGCAACCATATAGTTTCAACACAGGATTACTGACTCCTTGCCACACGCCAGATTAGACAGCACTGATTACTGTATAAACACATATTCGGGTGGCTCATTTCATACCGAGATCCGGACTTGACAGCTGCCGTATTGCAGAGCTTTTAAGAAATGATAAATGTACTAGCCATGGACGGGACTGAGATTTTATGCTGATGTTGACAACTTGCCGGATTGGACAGCTTCCACTGTAGTTGATCTCAGTGATCTCCCAGGTGCAAGAATCTCATATGTTTGACAAGGAAATGACAAATAATGTTTAGAGCTGTGTGTCGATAGTCATTATCTGTGCAGAAGGTGGAGCACTTTACACACAAGATATTTGACATGTCAGGAATCATCATTTCAGCTTCATTATAATGCTCAGTTGGTGTAGAAGCCTTATAAGTGTAGGTGACGTAAGTTAGACAAACACATTCTCATTATCTAGACATGCATAGGAGTAGATGCTCGACCCCACTCTACTAAAAAGTATTATGTTTCCAAATTTTTCAGTTCCTGAAAATTTATGAGAAAATGAAAACATTAAAAACAATTGTTTACATCAATATCTTAATCATTTTCCAGTTTTCCTGCTAAATGTATTTATGAATACACAATTCCATTTAGAAAGTGTTCAGATGTAACATATGATTATACTTTCTTAGTAAAGTACAGATTCTAGTTCTCTTGTTGGTTTGAGTTCCATCTGGGATTCAAACCCACACCCTCAGAGTCAGGCACCTACTTGCCAGCCTAACCCGCTGAGCCATCGTGGCTTCCGAGTGAATTTACCGTATTTAGTTTGTAATTTGAGTCATATCCATGTTGTCCCTGTAATATGTCTTTACTGATAATGGGATCATGCTGATCACCAGCTATTGTCCTGTTACATGTCATGGTTACTTCTGGCGTTGCTCCCACATTAAACATATCAACACAAGCAGAGATCCCCCAGTCCTACTTACAGCCCTGAAGCTATTTATACACCTGTTACACTCCTATGTTGACTGTAGGCTTGATAAGTCAACACAGGTGAAATATCTGCATGTTGCTTTTAGAGAAGTACCTACCAAGTACTCGTTATTATGATTAGAAAGACTGGAATGTTATACTTCAAGCATGTATGATGATCCTTTAATGGGAAGATGATAAACATTCTATGAATAAACAGGTAGAAGTTGGTGATTGTATCTTTATTTGGGTGTAACAGAGGAAAACAAAGGAAAAAGAAAGTATATTACTCAATCATGTTTCAAATGTTTTTTTAAGAAAAGATCAAATATGACAGGGCTGAACAAATTCATATGGTGACGCCAACAGTTAGTATTGAGTTGGGCATCAAATTTCACCATGATTAGAACAACTGATTAAATGATATGTGTCAATACTGAATGGAAATTATGGTGTCACATTGTTACACCTATATTTAAGGAACACGTTCAATTCTGTCAGATAATTTCATCAGGTAAAATAAATCAAAGTTGACTTAATACATGGTCATGTGAATATTTCATACTATAGTACGTCAATGCCAGGGTAAGAGATTAAATCCAGACTGGTAGCCATTGTGACTATGGCATTAAACCTCACTCACTCACTCACTCACTCACTCACTCACTCACTCACTCACTCACTCACTCACTCACTCACTCACTCACTCACTCACTCACTCACTCACTCACTCACTCACTCACTCACTCACTTCCTTCCTCACTCACTCACTCACTCACTGTCATTTGTCTGCACTGATAAACATGTTCTTGATAATAAACACACCCATCCTATACCAATATCTCTGCCACATTCCAGTCTACTCATCAGAGTGTGTGGAGGGCTGAGAGGTTGTTTGTGTATATGACTTAGGGGTTATTGTTGCTATTTACAATGTTTCTACCGCCATATACAAGACACAGAACCTGTCTATTTCTGCCCCACCTAAGTACAACCTAGTTGATTTGGTATGTTGTGACTTCAGTACAGGACACTGAGATAGCACTGGGTAGACCCCCACCCTCAGCCCCGCCCTCTCACTACGTATTTGATTTGTTATGTTGTGACTCCAGTACAGGACACTGAGATAGCACTGGGTAGACCCCCACCCTCAGCCCCGCCCTCTCACTACGTATTTGACTTGTTATGTTGTGACTCCAGTACAGGACACTGAGATAGCACTGGGTAGACCCCCACCCACCCTCAGCCACACTCTCTCACTACGTATTTGACTTGTGTTACGTTGTGACTCCAGTACAGGACACTGAGATAGCACTGGGTAGACACCCACCCACCCTCAGCCACACTCTCTCACTACGTATTTGACTTGTTATGTTGTGACTCACCGTCAGCCACTCTGTTACACACTGTCAAGGAAGGACTAAAGACATTTTGGTGAACAACATTTACCATCACGTGGATGGAAACTCAGTTGCTGATATTGTTGTGTTGACGAGAAACAATAACATTTAATTTCTAATTCTCTAACTGTTGTATAGCTAAAACATACGATTTTGAAAGCTTGCCATCACATACACGTCTTATTCTTTTCCTGGTTTTCTATTTTTGTGTCTGTCAGATCCACAGTTCAATAATCAATAATCATTATAGAGGATTAGTCTGTTTACAAGTAGTTAGATGTTTTGATTTTTCAGGTCAGAAACCTCTGTAACCATG